TTTTGCCTCTACACATATTTCACATTTTCTTTCATTATTAAAATGCATGTTAGGAAGAACACTTAAGTTCATCAATTTTCGTATTGAGTTATAATTCACATGTCCTAATCTATGATGCCATAAATAAGACAATTCAACAATAGAACTAGAAGAGGATGTTTTATTCATTGCATTGTTCGGTACAATAGTGAGGACATTCATTTTGAATAGTCCATCTTTTACATAGCCTTTTTCTACATACATTTTATTCTTTGTAAGAACAAATTTATCCGACACTAAGACCAACTTAAAGCCATTTTTGCTTAACAAAGAACCCGACACTAAATTCTTGCGAATATCCGGAATGTGAAGAACGTTGTTGGGGCTAAGTTCCTTTCCCGATGTCATCTTCAATAACTCTGCCTTGTCCTTCCACTTTTGAAGTTGAGGAATTTTCCATGAACAATTTTTCTCCCTCGGTTGGAGAATAGATAGTGAACATTCCTCTATCAGCACAAATGTGGGCAGCTCCCGTGTCAACCCACCATTCCATGGAATTTCCATCATAGTTACATTCAGAAATAACGGACGACAAGTTCATATCTGACATGCCACTAGACTATGCATCAGATTCGGTGATATTCACTTGGGCATGCTTTTTCGATTTGTGACAATTGATGGAACGATGCCAGCCTTCCTACAGTTGTAGCATTTACCCTTGAACTTCTTTGAGTTCTTCTTTGAGGGTTCCGCAGAGTGCTTCCTCTTCTTCCCTTTGTTGTTGGACTCCATTTTATTTGCCTTTGCTTGCAATGATTGATCTCTAACATGTTTGTCCGAGTTTCGGTTGTCCTCTTCAATCCTCAAACGAACTACAAGTTCTTCAATATTCATCTCCTTGCGCTTATGTTTGAGATAATTTTTAAAGTCCCTCCACATAGGTGGGAGCAGTCCAATTGAAATGATTCACTTAGAGACATTCTCCGCATGAATATCATGAAGTATAATCTGCAATTCCTGCACTTGATTGATGACGGTCTTGGAATCTACCATTTTGTAGTCCAAGAACTGTCCCACAATGAACTTTTTAGAATAGGCATCTTCAGTTTTGTATTTCTTTTCCAAGAATTCTCATAGTTCCTTTGCAGATTTCTTGGAACTATATACATTGTATAACTCATTGTCCAAGCCATTCAGAATGTAGTTCTTGCACAAGAAGTCTAAATTCTTCCAGGCCTCCAACGCAATAAATGATGTCCTACTATTTCCCTTTCTTGCACGGCAGGAGCATCTTTTTTTAAGGATTTTGCCAAGTTAAGGGTCGTGAAATAGAATAAAATTTTCTGTTGCCATATCTTGAAATCAACCCCAAGGAACTTCTCCAGTTTCTCTCCATGTGGAACAAAGTTTGTAGGGACAGTCACAACCGAAGCATTAGCCACGGTAGTAGGGACACTTCCTTTTGAAGTTCCCATGTTCAAGGTTTCATTCGAAGCAGAATTGATATTAAATACCTATTCATTTTTGTTTACGGAAAACAGAAAATCAATCAAATCAAAAGAAGGGTAGAAGAAGTTAAACTAAAATAGTTTAACCGAAGAGAAATCACTCCAACAAACCAAAAGCACAAAAATTCGACTTAAGATTGTTGGTTAATTTGTGTGTATGGAGTGACAAATGAATGCCTTGTATCACTTGAAATTCTGACAGAATAATGGTTTTGAATGTTGGTAAAATCCTCCAGAAATTTTGGCAGAGTAACGACTATAAATAAAACCAAAATATCCAGCAAATAATGCCAAACAAATGTAAGTCGAGGTAAGTATTGAACACTTTATCCTTAAGCTGAATTTGCCCAGCAACGGTGCCGACGGATTCACGGCAATCGACTCCCTAGCTACAACAACTTCTTATGTGAGTAGCACTTCAACACACAAGAACGTCTAACTAGAAGCAGAGTAGCACTCTTGAAATGCAAAATTATGAAGAAAACCATTATAAGCAATGTATATGCAAAGATTGGTTGAGAAAGGAGAGACAATGAAATGCTTATGATTGCATATCATTGGTGTGAGGAAAAGGACGTCCCTAGTTCCTTATTTATAGAGCATGAAGGGTTGGGGATGAAAGGATATAAGCCAAATCTCGCAATCTTTCGAACCAAAATGTCACTTGATGTCGCAAACTTTTCGTTAGAATTTACCTCGAGCGAAAAGGCGAGACTGTTTGAGCAGTGCCATTGTCACTCAATGTTCGCTTGAACGAAAATCGAGTGATAGGCGAGTGACATATAGGGTTTAATCACCCAGTTTTCATAATTTTTTCATCCAACTTTGAACATCAATTTCTCATTTTATGACTTCAAATATACTACCAGTAGAATAAATTTGTCTGCTTTCTTGACCAAGTCCAAATATTTGATCAAGGTTGACACCGAGTCACTTTTTCCAACTTTTATTTAATCAATTTAGATTATTTTTTGAACCAATTCCATCATTTTGTTGGTTAAGTCGGATTAATATAATTTTTGTGTCAATCCGTATATTAATTTTCTCTTATAATATGTCTGCAAAGATCCTTTTATTTTGCTTCAATAGCTTTTTATATTGTCCATTCATCTTCAGATACCAATTAATCCATGAATTGCTTTTTCCCATGCAAATATTTATTTCTACCACATGTAATTGTGTGTGTGTGTTGTTTTTTTTTTTGGTTTTTAAATCCTATAGATTATTTATACTTAACTCTATTTGGATGGATGAGTACTAAATGAAAATGGAGAGCACAGCTGCACAAGGGGGAATCTTGATTTAAACGGTTTGATATGTTAGACTAAAATTAATTTTCGCTTAAAATCAAATATAAACTTCTCATTAAAACATATAGGCTATAGCCATGTTTGGTGCAGTTTAGATACTTGAATAATTCAAGTCAAAATCAAAAATTAATATTAATCATATATTTCATAGAATCTATAACTTTTCAACCATACCTTTCATTAAATTTTAACAAAATCCACCTAAAATATAATTTTTATCTACATCAAACAGGGGTATGTCGACCAAAATAAAAAATGCGAGGGTTAATTTCAATAATGCCCACGTAACTTTGCACTTACTATCACCTTGATCGATAAATCTTACAAGATGTTTCAATCAAATCATCGATTCAACTTGACTTCGCTTTTAAAATTGAACATTTTACGTGTTCATGTGTGAAGTCGTAGGATTTAATTGAAAATCCAAATGATTTGATAACTAGGTACCAAAAATGGTATAAGTTTCAATTAATAAATAGGCATCAAACTCAATTTGTAGTCTTAATGAAGCATTTTATAAATTCAGTGATCAGTCTAAACAAATTAAAGTTTAGTGTCCAAGATGACAGAGTGAAAAGTTAAGTGGACATCGATGTAAATAACCCAAAATGGGACATCGATTACTTGGCATTTGCTTAGCAAGAAGCCACGTGGACAGGATCGTAGTCTCCCTAATTTAACCTAATTATTCATATGATGCACTGAACTTTGATTATAATTATATTTAAGATTGTATGATAGGACCTTGTTATAGAGTCGTATTGCAGGGGTGGATGTCTTAACGTAGCAAAAAGGCTTTTACATTGACAGAGCTGAGCCTATGAGGATGCCAAGGTAACAATTTCTTTTTATTAAAATAGAAAATGTGCAATTAAGTACAATACTTCAAAATGGTGATATATTATTTGTTGCAAATTTGACTCTGTGCTTTGCAAATCCCAAAAATGAAAAGCTGCGTAGAGTCTAGAACTAGCCTTTGAATTTGGACTTATTAGGGGATGTAATTAGCCTTTGCAGGGTAGGGGAGAAAAAAGATTTGATTTGCTTGTATAGAAAAATACTTCACATAATTGTATCAAATGTAGGTGTGACAACATCTGGTTTGATCTATTGCATTTTATTTATTTATTTGTTATCATTATCCAACAAATTGTTACCAAATGTTTTCTATATAAATTCTGAAAGCCAAATTACGTATAGACCCGCTCGTTATTTATTTGTTTTCTATATACATACTCCTAGGAATTGATTATTAATATTGAATGTCGTGCAATTTCCATTTTGCATCAGCAAGATATTGTTGACAAAGTGACCTAAAGTTTTAAATGTTGTTACTGTATGAAGGAACATATCCATGCAGTATGATGCAATTCTAAGAAATTGTATTTATTATTCCTTCTGATCAAGATTGAACAATTTCTTCAATGTTGACATTGTAGAAACTTGGAGGCCAAACACCAGTGGTTCAAAACTGCAGCATAATTGAATCTACTCACCAATGAAATCAAATTGCAAAATTTTTAGGTTGAGATGATATAGAAATGAATTATCATAATCTACACTTGGATATTGCCATATTGGCATCTATTTTGCAAAGATACGTTGAGATGAATGAAGCAGAAATGAGGATGTTCACAGTATTGTGTGTGATGATTATATAATGGATAAGTAACAAGTGATGGCAACACCCATCAAGGATAAATTAAGAGAATGATAACTTTAAGTGGTTGGGCTTGCTTTGTGTGGACTTGATGATGAAGTTGTCATTCTCTAGAGTCGTGCAATCTTTGTGGAATAGTTTGGAAGAGGAAGAGTTGGTCTAAATTAATTTGATTTGCTGTGGTTGTGAAGGACGTGGTAGCATTGGATCTTCTAGTGAATATACTGATGGATCGAACTAAGTGGTGATAAGGATTCATGTAACAACTCCAAATTCATTTAGGATAAGGTTTAATTTATTGTTGTTGAGGAATAGCTATGATGCTGCCTTTGTTGCACTGATTGTGAACTCTTTTGTGTTTTCACTGTTGTGTTACTTGTGTATATTTATCCTTTTGCAATTTCATGCAAGTTGACAGAGTTGCTATTGCCATACTAAATAAGACTATTTGTTTGCCGTATTTTGGTTTTAACAAGAAACTTGGTTTTACAGTGTCGTCTCACGTACACTCGGAACGTGTGGAAATATTTAGACGTAAGCTGCATTGTCATATTGCTGGCTTTGCTGTTTATGGTAGGAGTGGATGTTAGCATGAACATGCATTTGAAGACAGTGAAACTGACACTGAAAGGGAAGAATCCAGTTACTCTTGATCATCTAAGTGTTAGGGGTAACACCATACGCTATTACATCCTTCCCGACAGCTTAAATCTGGAAACTTTACTTGTTGAAGAGACTCCTAGAGTGAAGCCCAAGAAGCCTACTGCAGGTACTGGATTTATTGCCCTGGTTCCAGTTTCTTACGTTTGGAATCTACTTAAATATTTCTCCTCACATTTTACTGGTTGTAATCTTTTGTATGTTTCTATTAAAATATAGGGAGGCCTTTGGGCCGTGGAAGGGGCAGAGGACGTGGTCGTGGTCGTGGTCGTGGCAGAGGCCGTTAAGTTATTTCCTGTTTTTTTTCTTAATTGTTGGGAAACCTCAATATCTAGACGTTGTAAGAACTTTCTGTTCAAAGTTTGGATTATGGAACAAACTATTTGCAACATCTGTATGTCATATGAATTGCTATGCTTAGTATTGTTACTTTATCTTCCTTTTTGATATAAATATTTCTCCTCACATTTTACTGGTTGTAATCTTTTGTATGTTTCTATTAAAATATAGGGAGGCCTTTGGGCCGTGGAAGGGCCAGAGGACGTGGTCGTGGTCGTGGTAGAGGCCGTTAAGTTATTTCCTGTCTTTTTTTCTTAATATTTGGGAAACGTCAATATCTAGACGTTGTAAGAACTTTCTGTTCAAAGTTTGGATTATGTAACAAACTATTTGCAACATCTGTATGTCATATGAATTGCTATGCTTAGTATTGTTATTTTATCTTCCTTTTTGATATTGCATCGTGCAATCAATAGCTTATTGTAGTCGTTGCCTTTAGTGGATTGAACGTAACGTTAGTTGCTTGTGGCTTGGTTGGGGTGATGAATCAGCAGTGCAGCCATGTCCAAATTTTCCTTCACGTCCTTGCAATTGATGCTTTCCCTATCATAGTAAGGGTGAGGATCCAAATCCATTTTAGGAGGTGGTGTAGCAGAGTGGGAGAATCTGCAAAATGTTCATTCTTCTCACTCAATACTTTTTCTCTGTAACTGTTACATTTCTTTAACAAATAGTAGTTGCTGTTTTTGGTTCAATCAACCTTGACATTGCACACTTCACAGAAGGGTCTAGAATAACCATACAAACATTTCTAGTTTTTATAGCAACCATGTGTGCGCGCTCTCATACAACCGTTTCAACATCAAAATCCACAAAAACCTGAGCTAAAAAATAATAGTGGATTTGAAATTGTAATCAAGCGTCACCCATTGATTTATCCAAGGATATGAGTCATAACTAGAAAGTTTCTCCCACCCTGTACTAATTGGGGCTAAGATCTCCGAAACGAAGAATGCCTAAATAGGAATAAGACTTGATGTTATTAAAATGCCCAAAAATTATTATTCATAAAGCAAAAATATAGATGTACTCTACGAACGTGAAAAATATTGGAGTGCGTGTATACGAGGTGCTCTACCAATTGAGTTATAGCCCTTTGTGCTTGTGATACATATTTTATCACGTAGATATTTTTTGTCGATATGAATGTTCTATGATCCAACATCCTCTATGTTTTAGTGGTATTGTTCATAAATAATATGATATCTATAATCCATCGATAACATAGGTTCCGTTTGGTTATCTTTAGGAGATAAATGGCGTACTTAACTAAGTGGTTAGAGTTTTGCTTTCATGTGATGGCAGTCATTGATTCAAATTCAATACTAGGTACAACTTACTAAATACTAGAGTTAGTGTTACCTAATAAGTTTGTCAATCCATCCTCTTTTATTTTTATTGATTATCTATCTAATTTATTTCGTGGGAGTGAGTCTGCTTGATTGGATTCATTTGACATAATTCTATCAAAATAGGCTCAATAACATAACTTCTTTTAATTATTCGAACGCACCAACTAATGATGAAATCACCTTGACAACCTCTACTTGCCTCAATTATTATTCTATTTCCTTCATCTATTCTGAAATTAGTTTCATCTATTTGAAGGCATCATTTACTAAATCATCGATCTCATTATTGCATATTCTAGAAAAATCATCCATCAGAGTCATCGTTAACCATTAGTTGTTGAAGCATCTTCTTGAAATCTATCTACAGCTGGGGCAATAGGGGCATGGTTTGATAATACACTAATTTGACCGCTTTCAATTGATAAAGCAATTTCTTTCACTTCTAAATTGGTATATCTCAAACAATTCGATTAGGGATCAGTACACAAAGATTTAAAGTCATTTCTTCAAATTGCTCTCCATTTCTAGGTTAAGAGCATTGTCCGTTTCAGAAGGATGGCAGAACCAAACAACCTTGAAAACGTTTATCAAAGAGCTTCCAAAGCAGGTTTTTCATATCCCATCCACTTTAAAATGTAGCACAACTTTACCGCACTTTTCTCTTCTCAAATTTTTTATTTTATTTATTTTATTAATGTTCATACACTCGCAAATATATGTGTAGTGTTTGTGTAAATTTTACAAAAGCAATTCATCCATATGAAAATTATGAAACTGAAAGGGATACCCTTGAGCTTGCTTGACTAAAACTACTTCAGAAAGGGGTACAAATTGAGATTTTCATTTTAAGTGATTTAGCGGCGGATTTCTCGGACAAGTAATGCAGCATTCTCTCGATGAAAGATAGCAGATAAAGCCGAAATGCAGGCCTAATGCTGCCATGAACAAAACGGAATCATCACCATCGAAAGAGCCCAAAAAGGAGTCTAATAACTTGTGCTAAGGCCAAATTCCTTGTTTATATTGTTTCAGCTTTAATTTTTCTGAATAATAAGGATTACATATTTACAGAGTAAAAAGTACATTCAGGTCTGTAAAAGGCTGTCAAACCTTGACGTCTACTACACTGAGAAACTTGTAAGGATTTTTCTTCATTGTCCCACTAATACAATAATCATCGATAGCTTTGCTCAAGGGATGAATCAGCAGTGCAGCCATGTCCAAATTTTCCTTCACGTCCTTGCAATTGATGCTTTCCCTATCACAGTAAGGGTGAGGATCCAAATCCATTTTAGGAGGTGGTGTAGCAGAGTGGGAGAATCTGCAAAATGTTAATTCTTCTCACTCAATACTTTCTCTGTAACTGTTACATTTCTTTAACAAATAGTAGTTGCAGTTTTTGGTTCAATCAACCTTTGACATTGCACGCTTCACAGAAGGGTCTAGAGTAACCATACAAACATTTCTAGTTTTTATAGCTACCATGCGTGCGCGCTCTCATACAACCGTTTCAACATCAAAATCCACAAAAACTTGAGCTAAAAAATAATAGTCGATTCGAAATCGTAATCAAGCGTCACCCATTGATTTATCCAAGGATATGAGTCATAACTAGAAAGTTTCTCCCACCCTGTACTAATTGGGGCTAAGATCTCCAAAACGAAGAATGCCTAAATAGGAATAAGACTTGATGTTATTAAAATGCCCAAAAATTATTATATTCATAAAGCAAAAATGTAGATGTACTCTATGAACGTGAAAAATATTGGAGTGCGTGTATATGAGGTGCTCTACCAATTGAGTTATAGCCTTTTGTGCTTGTGATACATATTTTATCATGTAGATATTTTTTGTCGATATGAATGTTCTATGATCCAACATCTTCTATGTTTTAGTGGTATTGTTCATAAATAATATGATATCTATAATCCATCGATAACATGGGTTCCGTTTGGTTATCTTTAGGAGATAAATGGCGTACTTAACTAAGTGGTTAGAGTTTTGCTTTCATGTGATGGCAGTGATTGATTCAAATCCAATACTATGTATAACTTACTAAATACTATAGTTAGTGTCACCTCGTAAGGTTGTCGATCCATCCTCTTTTATTTTTATTGATTATCTATCTTATTTATTTCATTGTAGTGGAGTCTACTTGATTGGATTCACTTGACATAATTCTATCAAAATAGGCTCAATAACATAACTTCTTTTGATTATTCGAACGCACCAACTAATGATGAAATCACCTTAACAACGTCTACTTGCCTCAATTATTTCTCTATTTCCTTCATCTTTTCTGAAATTACTTTCATCTATTTGAAGGCACAATTTACTAAATCATCAATCTCATTATTGCGTGTTCTAGAAAAATCAACCATCAGAGTCATTGTTAACCATTAGTTGTTGAAGCATATTCTTGAAATCTATCTATAGCTATAGGGGCATGATTTGGTAATACACTAATTTGACCGCTTTCAATTGATAAAGCAATTTCTTTCACTTCTAAATTGGTATATCTCAAACAATTCGATTAGGGATCAATACACAAAGATTTAAAGTCATTTCTTCAAATTGCTCTCCATTTCTAAGTTAAGAGCATTGTCGGTTTTAGAAGGATGGCAGAACCAAACAATGTTGAAGCAATCTTGAAAACGTTTATCAAAGAGCTTCCAAAGCAGGTTTTTCATAGCCCAACCACTTTGAAATGTAGCACAACTTTATAGCACTTTTCTCCTCAAATTTTTTTTTTTTTTTTTTTTTTTTATTAGTGTTCATACACTCGTAAATATATCTGTAGTGTTTGTGTAAATTTTCCAAAAGCATTCTGAACAAAGATAGAAGTTAAATGACTGTAGAGCAATTCATCCATATGAAAATTATGAAACTGAAAGGGATACCCTTGAGCTTTGCTTGTCTAAAACTACTTCAGAAAGGGGTACAAATTGAGATTTTCATTTTTAAGTGATTTAGAGGCGAATTTTTCGGATAAGTAATGCAGCATTCTCTCGATGAAAGATAGCAGATAAAGCCGAAATGCAGGCCTAATGCCGCCATGAACAAAACGGAATCATCACTAATACAATAATCATCGACAGCTTTGCTCAAATTTGACAGCTCTTCTGAGACAAAAAATAGTAACTTTTTTATTTAAATTTCTCCTAGACTAACTTGAACTATTTCTCGTGAATACAAATCCTTCACATTTCAATCCTTACTCTCCAAAGGTACAGCTCTTGCTCCGGAATTCTCAAAGAAAATTTGATGAATCCAGATGCTTCTTCATATTCAAATTCCACTTCCGCACAATCAACTGTAATTCTTTTAGGTCTAACCGAAGAATAGGCTCCAAATAGACCACACCCTCAAACTTTCATGCTGACAGTTCCCATCTGTTCTGATTCATAATCTAGCTCTTTAATCGCTCCTCCTGAGTTGAACATTTTGATGAGACCTATCGGAGCAAATGTAATTCCGCCTGACATCTGCTTGACGGGAACAACTGTGAAAACCTCATACTCTCGAGCCTTCAGTGTGATTGGCAGAGAAGTGTTATTTGGAAGATAAACCAAGTCTCCTGCAGTGACAACAAATAGATGTTAAAAACGAGTCCATTCTCTAGCAGTTCTTCACAGTATGAGTTTTGGTCAGTCGCAAGTACCTTGAAGATGAGAATAAAGAATGGCATCTCCTTGCCATCTATCTTCAGAAATTCTTGACAAGTAATCAACGTCTTTAGCTCGGATAATTCCAGTTATTGCGCCAGGTTGTTCGTCATGGATGCGATTAGTCTTTTCAACCTTACACCAACCTGCTCCTTGGCAGTTGAAGACTCCCACGACTCCGATGAAATCATTTAGATTCCAAATCTTTAACAAACTGCAACAAAATTATCAATGTTATTAGACTAAAGAAACTTTATGAGTTGAAAAAGAACAATCATAGAATCGTAAAATTTACTAGATATACCTTTCTCTATCTCTGGAAGGATCAGAAAACAAGCAATCGCGTGTTGGCCTTCCCGGGAATTTGGCTCTCAATATGGAACCATCAGGAAGTACGAGTTTCTTGAGAAGATTGAAGTCATGCTTCCCCGGCTTATCACTGCATGTAATCAGTGTACAAATGTAAGAAACAAAGTTAGAAATTTTTATAGCCACAATAAACTCTTGGGTGTTCTTGATACCTGACGTAAATAGCACAGCCTCCCACGGCACGTGCTCACTCTGCCATAAGAATCGCAGTTATATTAGTATTTAGACATTTATTGACTTTACTGAACTAACAAACGGTTGATAAGGTCATCAACTTGCATGAAACATATCCCAATCTGGCTGCATAAACTCCCCAAGAAAAACAGTGTTGTAAGCAACTGATGCAATATGAATCGTGTGTGATGCAGGATCACTCGGCCAGAAATCATCCGATGCTCTAATAACAGCCGTTCGCTTTGCACTATGAAAATTAAAATAAAGTCCAATCAACATTTACAATCTAATTTTTTGAAATTCAAAAGAGAAATAGCGATAGGTTTAATTACCTGTACAAACCATCTGTGTTGTGGCTCATGCAGGAAATAATTCCATTATCAGGGAAATTCCTTGAAATTGATGCCTCTAATGCTTGGTGGTATTTCCTAGCTAGCTTCACCCTTCCACCATGGCCACCCCCGAGAGTTTCAAGGATGTTCTGGACGTCTACTTTGACCCCATCGATACCAGCGGATGCAAGGTATGAATGTAACTCATTATAGAAATTGTAGACTTTGTCGGGATTCACGAGACCTAGTCCATTCTTGACAATGCTGTTCAAAGCATCACAAGGTTCATTCGACTGAACCCCTGGAGACGAGACAGGATATGACATCTTAGATTCATAATGTTCCATTCCAGCAACACCAGGTCTAACACCACCCCAGTACCCCATCAAAGCGTGCCACACATAAGCGTACCTGCATAGTCCACAAAGATAGATCATATAATTGCTTTCTAAAAATTTATGACATACGTGGCTATGACAGTTCTTTAGGTGTAGCGTATCTTACTTAATAGAATGTTTATCTTTAATCTCAGCTACAATATGCCGAATGCCCATTGTCGGATCCTCCACCCTTTCATTTTCCTTCCCATCCTTCTGGAATTTGTGGTTCTCTTTGATATTGTTTAACCTATTTGCAAAGCTGAATTGAACCAAAGTGAACTCTAAAGAGTTAGACAGAAAGAGAAGAAAAAGGACTAAAACTTTAAAACACGACATGTTTCTTAAGACTCACTGGGCTGTGTTATCAGCTTTCGCTTCAACACTGGTCGGATCCATGCCAACCGATTGCCACCCATCATCAATGATGATAAACTTGGGGAGAATCCCGCCTTTCTCAAAACTTCAATAAAATATCAATCATTAGTTATTTTGCCAACATTGCGCAATATGCCTACTCATATTATAAGTGGGATACCTCTTCAAACCCTTTTTCACTCCCTCTGATGTAACGTCGGTATAGAAAGCATCCCATGTGCACCATCCGAACCAGTTCAACATGTCCGGCATCTGAATCATTACAAAATACTTGATTTAGAATATGTGTCAGATACCGACACTTTTAAGACACTCTACCCCGAATATTTTTCTTTATTTATCAGAAATATTATATATTTCCATAAACTTATTATTAAATAACAAATAGATACTCAAATCTAAAATATCTCAATAAGAAAAAATTAATAACAAGTATAAAACGTTTTACTGTATAAACGAAAATTTTAAAGAATTTAATTAACGTGTCAGTACTTTATTGAAAAACACGTGTTGGACACAGTGTTCATGTCGATGCATCATAGGTTCTAATACAGGAAACATTCAGGGAATATTTCACCTTCTTTCTATCGCGATGACAAAATGTTTGCAAACGTCTCTCCACCGTCCTGCATATATATGGAAATGTTATCAACCATCAAGTCCTTCACAAAATACAACTTACGAGTTCATTTTATCTAGGCTAAGATCAGTCTAACCCTGAATATTGATTATCATAATCCATAGGTTTCTGGGACAAACATATTAATGTTAGAAAATAACCAGATAGATAGAATCGCAAAGGACATACTTGACTGCGGTTCTTTGTTTGCATTAAAATATTGTGCGTACCATGTTTCAATCAAGATGAAATGGTACACATGATTTAATGTACACAATTTTCATAAATGATAGACCAAGTGTGAGTGATACAAGCGCACTTAGACTTTAAAAGCATCACACTAATTGTCTTTCAAATTCAATTTGAGATGTGATGAAAATAAATCTTCATCGTCGCGTATTTCGGTCGGAGGTATATTCAAGTTAACGACCTTGAACTTCAATTCAATTTGAGTACGGGGATCAAGATATCAAGTTTGTCCTTCAACATTAACAAAAGTCCGGATACGATATTACTTGTCAGAACCAGAATGTAAGTGGTTTTGTCTCCTCTTCACTTCTATTCGTCATCCGCATGAACAAACTTTCCCCCTGCGACATGATGAAACTCAAATGATTATTCATACCTCAAATGTTGGGATTGCAACGATAAGAATTCTACAGAATCAATGTGTTGGCATTTAATAGCATGAAAGCGGCACTACATAATACGTAAATCCGTACAATAGTAAAAGGTCAAATCAAGGCTTTCCGTCGTTTTAAGTGTTCAATTTGACAGTAAAACTATATACCCCGACAGTTTGCAAATGTTCGGGTTCGACATTTCAAACGTCTAACCCGACGGTTTGTAAATGTCAAATTCGACAGTTGAACCGTCGAAAATGTCGAGAAGCAGATGACAGTGGGTAGAACATATTCTTCAGCACAACACATTAAGTGTGATAATTAGTATTGAGCTAGATGAAAAAGGTCAGATTGGCCTTGTTATTGAAGAGACATTTAATGAAAACATTATCTGGTTTGAATGGAAGAAAGTACTCAAAACCTTAATAGTGATAATCACATTTGTGAAGGATTTAAAAAAAAATCAATGAATAATAGTTTCAAAAATTTTAAGTAAATATGTCCAGGTTGTATACAAAACAGTAAACTGTAGAAGTAAAATGTAAATATTTTCTAATAACTAACCTCTCAAAATGGATTATGAATGCAAGAGAAAAATCTTTTTGATCAATAAAATGAAGAAGATGAGAAAAATTAGGGTTTGTAAGGGAAGAAGAAGATATATTTGTTTATGTTTCATTTTAAATTTCTTTTACCCTTTTTTATTAACACAAATTCATATTAATCAATATAATACACATTTATCCATATTTTTTATATATAAAATAAATCATCACATCAATATAATCAATTCTTTCAAATCAAGCATTAAATGCTAATGAAAATGTGTCATTAAGGGTAATTTGGACATTTCACACAAAAAAAGTGATATTTTTGCTCACATAAAGTGAAAATGACAACTTTTGGGGACCTTGTTAATTTTGTGACATTTTTGAAAATTCCCCATAAAATAAATGTTATAAAATAGTTGGAGAGAATATGAAAGGCTAGAAAACTTTTGCCGTAATGTTACAAGTCAATGCAAATATGAAGACTTGACTTAAATGGTAAAAAAGTTGAATCCATTCAACCTTTTGCCCAACAGCTTTCAACAATAATGACTGAATGCAGTCCCTCTTCCGTTTGAAATGAAAATGAAAATTTTTCATTTTAACGGGTCACAAACAAATATTTTAATAAACAGCGTGACCTCAGTCATCTAACGTCATGCTAAGAAATTGGAAGCGATAGATTAAATAATTAGAATAAAAATAAAAAAAATCGGCAACTAACTATAGATAGACAAAAAAAAAAAAAAAAAAAATAAAAAAAAAAAAAAAAAAAACCGGCAAAAAAAAAAAAAAAAAAAAAAAAAAAAAAAAAAAAAAAAATAATAATAATAATAATAATAATACTCAGCATTTAACTATAATAGACAAAAATCAATAATTACGAAATGCTTCAATGTGGTCCACTAGATTCCTATATGATAAAGTAGGACTCCCCAGTCAACTCTCTCAATTATTACCACCTAAAACATTAACAAATTTTATTTGGGTAAATATATAAAGACGAATATAATAAATAATAGTGATTGTCAATGTGATTGAAATTATTAATTAAAATTAATATATAAATTTATATTGACTATTGTACTATATGTAAATAATGATTCACATACACATAATATAGTGAGTTATGATTGGGTAGAGAACGACTCTCCAATCAACTCTCTCACAATTATTACCACCTAAAATATTGAAAAATCCTATTTTAGTATATATTTAAATGATTTATAAGGATAAATATAAAAAATTAATGATAAATAATAATTATTTAATAATTGCGAATGTGATTAAAATTAACAATTGAAATAAATATATAAATTTGTATCCGAATGAAAAATTAAATCCATTGTATTATATATACATGATGATTTGTATACGCATAATATTTTGATATATATGATTGAGTTAAAAAATAAATAAAAAATCCACCTCCATTATTTACAAGTAACATTATTCAATTTAAATGGTCAAACAGAATTTCTCAATCACACTCACTCACCTGTTCCTTGCGATCTAGAACGTCAAACAGAATTTCTCAATCACACTCACTCACCTATTCCTTGCGATCTAGAAGGTCAGCATTTTAGGAGTATTTTTTTAATGAGGTGGGACACGAGGGACCTATAGTATAAAATTGCTTTGCGCCTTGATACCTTTTTTGCCAATTGTCAGCTGTCAAAATTCAATTGGTTGTTGAACATCAATGTAGTTTTGCGGCTTTTGCCACGAACCTCAAAATTCAATCACGGAACAATCGGCTAATGTAGTTTTGCCACGAGCTTAATTCCTTGAGGAAATTGCTACGGCTTTTCTTGGCAGGTTTCTTTGGTCTATATATATATGTATGGTGTAGTGAAGGAAGAAATTAGCTGAGCCAGAAATTAGTTCTAGCATGGGCATGGAAATTTGTGGCGATGATCAGAACCCAAGCGTCTCAAATTCTTCTTCTTCTTCTTCGTCTTCGTCTTCGTCTTCGTCTTCGGCTTCGGCTTCGACCACTGAAGTAATGAAGTGCCCTCTTAAGAGAGATGAGGTCAGTCTTTCTATTTCTGCGATTTCATTTGGGAATACGTACAGCAGTAATTTAATTAGTTAATCATTTGATGCTATTTTATTTTATTTATTATTTATATTTTGCCAGAGATACAACGGGCTGATTAATGAGGACACAGAGCTTAATGTTACAATTCGGCTAAATGCCAGTGAGCAGCAAGCTCACGTACGTGATGGTAAGTGAAATCTGGTTTCTTGTTACGTACATTCGATTGTTAAAAATCAAATGATTGATTGTTCAGGTCACGAGTTCAGCTCAATTCTTAATAATAGAAGTAGTTTTTAACGCTTTTCGATCGTCCTTATCCACAAGCAGGAATGCAATAAACATGCTTTCTCAACCAATTTGGAGATGGAAATGGATTTAAACTAATGATATATTGATATAAACACATCAAGGGAAAGGGTTAGAACACTGTTATTCGCCGAACTCGCCGTCTTGTTTCAGCTTAGTTACCGAACTTCTCTTTCATATAAAAATGGTCGAAGTTATCGTTTTGTTTCAGTTCAACCACTTCTTTGTCTCCTTTTGACACTCCTGTGCTTAGTCCTGCAAATTTCTTCAAGCATTTAATATTCCTTATAATTATTTAGGAAAATTCCTTGTTCTAAGGGATCAATCTTATTGAAGAATTATGATGGGCCGACCAATTTTGTCCACAATTATTGGTAAAAATGCAATTATACTCATTACTGAGGAAAACAAAGTACCCAAAGATGCGAAGACATTGACTCATATATATATATATATATATTTTTAATAAAAAATAAATAATAGCAAATACAAATAGTAAATCCAGGTACCCATTTTATGACAACGCTGCTCTCATACTCCTCTCATATGATCTTAGAGGGGGATCACGAGGTTGCTACGCTATGATAAGAGAGCCCGTACAGATTTTAGTATGAAAAGCCCGCCCCAAAGAGTGAATAGTCCTTTTGTCTGGTGCTTTATAATTTTTATCCCACTTGTCCATGATCAAAATTTCGAGTACAACTACTCTTAGCATTCCCGGGCACAGAGATCAAAACTTTTATTCCACTTGTCCATTCCATTTGAGATATAGTGGTGCACTGCCGGATATTGATGTCTTCTTCTATGATCTACAACTTAATAGTCAAAATATTCACAGGAGCATTTATAAATATGTTTGTTCCTCCATCTGAAAATTCAGGGAATGTATGGACAGCTTTGGCACATATAATAACAGCTGTAATCGGTTCGGGGGTATTGTCACTGGCATGGAGCATGTCACAACTGGGGTGGATTGCAGGTCCATTGACTATGCTGGCATTTGCATCAGTCACCCTTACTTCTGCACTTCTTCTTCGGAATTGCTACAAATCTCCTGATCCGGACTATGGCCCGGCTAGAAACGCCTCCTACATAGAAGCTGTCCGAAATATTTTAGGTAAAAAAAAGTTGGCTGTGCTTGTGCTTCATAACCTCTTTAGTTCTCGTGGCATAATCACAGAATTCCATCACTACTTCATCGACAAACGATATTTTAATTTGTCACTTCCTTACCTCCCAAGCTGTGAAGCACGGGACTCGTTATAGGATGGATTATTGGTGTCCAATTCGTATTGGAAACCAACATAACTAAATCACACCAAGACAAGTGTCCAACGTGCCACGTGGTCTGTCCTATTTTTTATAATTCTAACACGCAAGAGACAATCTCGAAACTCCTCGCACACATGTTCAGCAAACTAGGGATGTCCTATTTTTATTTTTAAAAAATATATATTTTTTCAAGTTTTTGATGTACATTGTCTCGACAAGTCAAGGACACGAAACCCCTATTTTGTAAATTCTGGGCTAAAAAATGAGGAAAAATTTTAGTTATTATAAAATTCGTGTAAAAATGCACAATAGCGAGAATGTTTTAGGAAATTCACGTCGTATCTGTTTCATAAACGTTGTATATACTTTTTGATTTGTGAATATTTTTATGTGATTTGCAGTAGTAATACAAAGTAATTGTAATACAACAAATAATACTACTACGCAAATGTAAAAGATGTCACTTGGAAAATTCAAAATTAAAACCAAAAGTAAGTATCAATTTTATTGAAAAAACAAAAAGGTTTAAAACTTAAAAAGAATATATATATAGATCTTTAATTTTTTACTATTTAATTTATCGATTAGTATCCTACATTTTTCAAAATATTACAACTAACAGTGTCCGTCTGTCCGATGACCTTCTTCATATCTCCTAAGTTGTGTCGGTACATGAAAATAAAGCTATGACAAAAGTTAGTGAGAAAATAATTTTAAAAAATGACTAGTACGTAATAATATTTAATATACTAAGTTTGAAAACTAGTGTATTGGGAATGTATAACTCTTTTTTTTTTTTTTTTGATCGGTAAATGTAAATATATAGATAAAAAATGTACCATGTACAAATACACCGGGCATACCCGGGCGAGACAATGTCCAAAATCAAATATAAGTACACCGGGCATACCCGGGCGAATCAATGTCCATAAACATAAACAACTACTCCGGGCATACCCGAGCAAACGTAAGGGACAAATAAAAACGAAATATTCCGGGCATACCCAGGAGATACAATCAAGTGAAGTACATAAAAACTCAATGTCCCAATGCTATAGACTCGAAATGGATCAAGACATCCGGATACGAGGTGAACATAACCTTGTATACGTGTGTCTTGATCCGTCTCACAATGCTATCCAAGTCGGGTTTGAGATCTTCAAAAATCTTCATATTCCGTGTCAACCAAATATAGTAAACCGTAGTGGCAAGAGCAATCCTCTTCACTTTACTTTGCCATGATGTTCCACGAGCCTCCTTTTTCAACCATTTTAAAACACTGGCAATAGTTGACATAGATCTCCTAATGCCAAGCCAACGCCTAACATTCCCCCATAATGAAGAAGTGAAAGAACATTTAAAGAAAAGATGCGCACAAGTCTCCTTCGAATGAGGACAAAAAACACAATTCATATCAATGTCCAAGAAGTGCAACTTATCCTTAGTTAAGAGTTTAGATTGCACTCCTAACCAAAGCAAGAAAGAGTGCTTCGGGGTGATACACGGCTTCCATATTTCAGCTCCCCAAGTTTTGAAAGAACCTTTAGGCCTGAAGAAGTCATAAGCAAATTTTGTACTAAATTTATCCATTCCCAAACAGCCCATATTTTCGTTCAAAAAATCAGAAAACTGCCTACTGACTGAAGCCGTCTGCCTGTGCACAAAACTGCCCAGAATCTGCAGATTTCGCCCCAAGTGTTGAGGCACATTACCCAGCAAATTATGCTCAAAATCATCAGAATAAGGTAGAGAAATTCCCCCATTATTGCGCCCAACCGTCGGGACCTGTTGGTGATGTCCAGCAGCCCTGAATTGAGCCAAAACATCCCTAATTTCCAGCAGTTTCTTGAAGAGTGGGGAGTGATCCTTTTTAGGGCTAACCTCCCAAATGCAAGTCCCCTTAAGATAAACTTGATTCACCCATCTAATCCATAGGGTATCCTTCTTGTTTTGAATGTTCCAAATGGATTTAGCAAGTAGCGCTAAATTCAAAGTCTTCAAGTCTTTCAATCCAAGGCCCCCTTCTGCTTTCGGAAGGCATAGATTCTTCCATGCAACCAATGGCTTCTTTGATCCCCAAAGGAAGTTCCGACAAAGGCTAACAATTCTAGAAATAATTGTAGCCGGAATGGGGAAGATAGAAAGCCAAAAACATTCAACTCCTTGAAGCACCGCCATAATGAGTTCCATCTTCCCGGCATAGGATAAAGATGCACAACTCCAAGCACCAATATAACCCGCAATTTTTTCAAGAAATTGTGCATAAGAACTCACTTTGAGCTTCACCAATGCAAGGGGAATACCCAAGTAACGAAAAGGCATAGTCCCTTTCGAAAATTTTGAGATTTCCATGACAGTTTCAAGCTCATACCTAGAAATTCCTGCTGTGTAGATGCTGGATTTCGTAGTGTTGATCTT